GACAGGACAAGCAAGCAAGCAAGCAAGCAAGCAAGCAAACAAACACAGCCGGTTTATTTAAAATATATGGGCTGGGGAGATGGCCTGGCCAGTACAGTACCTGCCATGCAAAGGTGAAAGCTTGCTCTTCAGCACCCATGTAAAGTTCCAGTGTGGCAGAGCATTCCTGTAAGCCCAGCATAGGGGAGGTATAGAAAGGAGGCTCCCTGGGGCTTGTGGGAGACCCTGCATGGTGGCCAGACATGGTGGTACACGCTTTTAATCCCAGCACTCAGAAGACAGAGCCAGGCAGATCTCTGTGAGTTCAAGGCCAACCTGTTTTACATGGTAAGTTCTAGGTCAGCCAGGGATACAAAGTGAGCTCTGTCTCGAAGTGAAGAAGTAAATAAATAAGTGAAAATTAGGTAGAGAGCAACTGAGGAGGGTAACGTGACATCGACATCTGGCCTTTCCATGTGACTGCGTATGCCGCCCCTCTCACACCCAAATGCACATATACACAAATATATACAATACACAAACACAAATATATAAAAAAGATGTACATGCATAAATTGAACATATTTACACTAAGTTCTCCTTGTAAACAGCATATTTATGCCTGTAGGAAGACAAAATTAACATAAGGAGATACATCATTCTGGAAGGGGTACATCTGTGCTGTCAGTTATTTAGAACTCTAAGTCACTAATGCTTAATAGAACAGCCCCCAAGAGTGCCACCGTAACAATGCTCTTGGGTGTCAGACAAGATCAGGCCGACTCCCAGTCTCTCATCTCCATGAAAAAGACTATGGGGCGGAGTGGGGTGGGGTGGGGGGGAGGAGTGGGTCGTGAATTTATTGCTTTAAATGTTATGCTTATCACTTTAAAGTAAGGAATCTGTCTGTCTGTCTCACACACACATACACGGAGAATGGCAAACAGTAATCCCTAAATAAAATAGTCTTGTTTGCACTTTGGCATAATCTTAAAATAGAAATCCAGCCTATACAAACACCAAAGAGAACCTGTAATGATAAATTACAGCAGCTGGAGAGATGGCTCGGCAGTCTAGAGCTCTCACTGCTCTTGTAGAGGACCCAGGTTTGGTCCCTGCACCCACAAGGTAGCTCATAACTTCTGTAACTCCAGTTCCAGAGGAACCGATGGCCTCTTCTCATCTCCAAGAGCTGCTATATGCACGTGGTACACGCACTACACATACATTTTAAAAAAGTCTTTTTCTTTTCTTTTTTTTTTTTTAATGGTTTTTTTGAGACAGGGTTTCTCTGTGGCTTTGGAGGCTGTTCTGGAACTTGCTCTTGTAGATCAGGCTGGTCTCGAACTCACAGAGATCCGCCTGCCTCTGCCTCCCCCACTGCCCTTAAAAAAGTCTTTAAGTTATAAATTATAGTGTTTCTATTTTATGATCTTCCCTCTAATTAATATGTCTCTGTGATAACTTAATGCTCAAAAACTAGTTTAGACTCAGGAATGAGTACATGATCAGAGCATTACTGCATATTCTACAGGAGCAACTATATCAATGGCGTGAGGAAACTCACAGCTTCAAAAGCATAAGTTCAGGACTTTTACATAATGAAGTACTAATAAAAAGTTCCATAACTGAATGAAGAAAAGCTCAATCATTGATTTTAAAGTCACTCTTGAATTCAAAACTTTGTTAATTTGTACTTGTGACTCCATCTATAATAGGAAGAAGACTACTGTCTCAGGATTAATATACCAATTTCCATATTCAGGGATAGTTCAAAACCTATGTGCTACCTAAGGCAATTACCTAGAAGACCCCTAATATCTTTAGGGAAAAGCCAAAGAGAGAATAATTGACTGTGCTAATTTTACCCTTGGCAATTATAAAATAGCTCTGAATCTCATCTGATGGCAGAGACCTTTAGCTAACAGTCTGCCTCTGGAGGGGCAGAAAAACACATCATCTAGCTTGTACACAAATCCATCAGCAGAAGAAAACTGGAAACAGGTAGAATGAATAAGCCATACAATACTATAACTGCTGCAAACATGACAACTTTAATCATCAAGTTAAATATACTGACCCCCCCCCACACACAAAAGCAGGCTGTCACTGTGAAAAACAGTGATATATTATAAACAAATTCTACATCACGTTCTGCCTGACCCCTCATTACTGTGGTGTCTATTTGTTTCTCTCTTTATTGACAATTTTTTCTTACAAAGGAAATTAAAATAGTAAATAAAATCTAAGTATTAACAAGACAGTAATCATTTTTAATTATTGTTTAATAAAATAGGTCCTTTGTTGTAAAATATTCATATTCCTTTAAATTCAGTTCTGAAGAAAACAGACCCACGAGTTTCACTGAAAGGGCTCGTTTTGAACATGGGCAGGTGCTTTGCCAAAGAGGACTCTTGACCTCACTCACTCAGTCTCCTTTTACTGTCTCTGAATTTCAGAACACTGCCCACACAATTTGGACCTCATCTGTTGTGATTGAATGAGGGCTATGGAATGCCTACATTTGGGGAGCAATCATGGACTGACATGGTACTCTAGTTCTTTCATAGGAAGGGAGCTGGGGAAGCATCCTTTGGAGCTGAGCCTGCAGAACCTTCAGAGGCCCTTTCAAGATCGAGGTGAAGAAGATCCATGTTTGGAATGAACAGGACAGATGCACAGGGCAGACAAAGGCCTAAGTTTAGCACAACCATCCAACTCAGGAAGAAACACATTGCTGTCTAAAAAGACATGCAAATGTGCAGGGATGATGTGCACACAGGCCGTGGAGGCACGGGGTTCCCAAAGGGGAGGGAGGGTCCTGTCATTCTCTTTCTTCAGCGACTGCTTGCTGTTGGACATGCTGAGATTTCCGTTTTTCTATTTTTCTGGTCTTCTCTTTGTAAACCAAGTAGTGGTGTTGAAATCCGGTGCCTAATGGAGCAGATGGTGGAGGTCTTAGGTTCTGGAACACGTAGAGTGATGCCTTTGAATGCTAAACACCAAGTGCAGATTTCACAGGCTGGGAAAGTGATTTGGTTTTGATGGTAATCAAACATCCATTTTCACTGAATTCGAGCCACAGTGAAAGAAAGGATATGTGACTGACGCAGACAGTTCAGGAAAAAGATGATACTTAAAATATTATCCCCACAGAGGGAAGTAGTATACACAGTTACTTGTTTACATCACTATGGCACGCCTGTACTTTCAGCTCCTCTACACTTCTGTAAGACGCACAATAGTGCTCTGCTTGATGTCATGCGTGAAACCCTGGGTTCATGCAGTGTTGGCAGAGTAAATCCTAACTGATAATAACAGGGAAACAAAAGGAAATTTCCTAAAAGTATCAAGCCTTAGTTCCTTTTCTAAAGTAAGACCATGTTGAGGGTAATTTCCAAAAAATAGGACTAGGTGCAATTAAGTAACAGATCTAGAATATTTTTCCCCTGGGCCTAACCCATTGTGCCCACTCTCTATGCCTACAGGTTATCAGGTGCAGCTCAATGCACCTGAAACCCCACCACACTTTCACATGTGGACGTGTTCCCTTCTCCAAGTAAGGCCCATGCTTCTCACAGACTACAGCAGGTCTGACAGAAAGGCAAGACAGATGATGGGGTCAGTGACTCCCAGGGACAGTTAAAGACTCACTGTTGCCTTAACATGTGGATCCCATCGAACACCAGTAGCACCGACACTGAGAGCAATAATTAGTAAATGGGACCTCCTGAAACTGAAAAGCTTCTTCTGTACGGCAAAGGACACAGTGGACAAGACAAAAGGACAGCCTACGAGTGGGAAACGATCTTCCCCAACCCCACATCTGGACGAGGGCTGATCTTCCCCAACCCCACATCTGGACGAGGGCTGATCTTCCCCAACCCCACATCTGGACGAGGGATGATCTTCACCAACCCCACAACTGGACAAGGGATGATCTCCAAAATATATAAAGAACTCAAGAAACTAGACAACAAAATATCAAATAATCCAACTAAAAAAATGGGGTGGAGAATTAAACAGAAGAAATTCAAATGGTTGAAAGACATTTAAAGAGATGCTCAATATCCTTAGCCATCAGGGAAATGCAAATCAAAACAATTCTGAGATACCACCTTACATGAACAAGGGAGATCATGATGGAGAAATTTACAAGACAGCTGAACCAAGGTCATGGAAACTCATGAACTCTAGACAAATCTGTAGAGCTAGGCACTGCATATGGGGGAGACAGTTATGAAGATTGGACTATCTGTGGGGCCCCTGGCAGTAGGACCAGGATCTATTCCTGGTGCATGAGCTAGCTTGTTAGGGCCCATTCCCTATGAGGGGATGCCATGCTCAGACTTAATGCAGAGGGGAGGGGACTTAGTCCTGACCCAACTGTGTTGACTCCGCAATAGACAGACCTGAACATCAATTTTTCCCATTCCAGGTTATGTTGTTCAGATAAAGCAAGCACTCTACTAGTAGTCTGTATTCCCAGCCTTGCTTGAGATTGCTCTATAACCCAGAATGGCCCCAATAATCCTTCTTCTCTTCCTCCTCCTCGAAACATTTTAAAAAGATTTATTTGTTATATGTACAAGGTTCTGCCTGCATATGTGCCTGAGCACCAGATCTCATTACAGATGGCTGTGAGCCACCATGTGGGTGCTGAGAATTGAACTCAGGACCTCTGGAAGAGCTGCCAGGGCTCTTAAAACTCTGAGCCATTTTCTCCAGCCCCTCTGTTTTCTGGCTCTGAGGCCCAGGCGAGCCTTGAACACATGATCCCCCTGCCTCTGCCTCAGAGTTTGGAGATTATAGTCTTGTGTCACCATACCTGTTCTTCAAAAATGTTTCCTAGCATTAATTTCTTCTAGTTAATGCTGACACTGCCATCATCACCTTCATCAATTTCAGTAAGCACACAGGGGGAGCCGAGCAGCAGGACACACAGAGCTCTGTGCTTCCATAACCAAGCATGAGACACATAATGGCCATGTTAGCCACAGGTGGACCTTGTCTATTTTTACCTTGGTGTTCTGTAGAAGAGCTAGTCCATTGCAGGCATTTGCTAGAAGAAAGTCTCCACTCAGGATAGCTATTTTGTTTCCAAACTGCATGTCTTTCAGTGGTCCATCAGATGAATTTAATTCACTTAAATTTACTATCCCACGATGCACGATGAGAGCAGTGTGTATAAGTTCTGTGATCTCTGCCAAACTTCTTTGACTAAAACATAAAGGAAAGGTTTGTATAAATGTCAAGACTGTACTACTTTACGACCAGTGCCAGGATTCAGCTTTCTAGAATAAAACCATGCACACATGGTTTTGTGTGTGTGTGTGTGGGGGGGTGTCCTTTTCTAATAAAGCTTTCAGAAGTTTCTCTATTGACTAGCCTGGAGCTTTCCTGTAAGTCTCTACACTACAAATCACTGGTTGCAGAGAAATGATGGCCAGCAGCACTACCCTCCCCCCGCCAGGTTTCACTGAGATAACTTGCTTTCAGTGCATGTTTCTTCTTCAGCTAACTTTAAGATTTCTGGGAACTGTCAGTTACATTGTCAGGTTAAATGTGAATACGAGTAAGGCATGGGCTAGATACTTTCCATACACGATCTCTTCTAGTCCTAAATATAAAGCTAGGGTTTTTTTCTGAAACATGGTCTCTTCCCTCAAGGATCATGTCTCCTAGACTGAGAATGGATGCATACACCTTCGGCAGGAAATAAGGCAGAAAGGCCTGCTGAGTCGGTAATTCAGGACTGTATCTCATGAGATGGCAGAGGATACCTGCCTTCAGTTTGCACACTTTGTGTGAGGATAAAAGTATTATTGTATAACCAAACAAAAACTTCCAATATTTCGATTGTGCAGAACGAAATCTGATGGAATAAAATGCATGTGATAACTGGGACAAACAAAGAGAAAGAGCTAAGACCCAGTTTGGTGGCTGTGCTCACAGAACCAGCACTTGGGAGGCTGAGCTACACACCGAGTCCCAGGCCAGCCTGTCTCAAAACACCGCAGGAACAGAACCTGCCCCCTCACACACATTAAAACAAAAGCAAGCAGTCACTGAAAGTGTAAGCCTCCTCTCAACCCCGTGATGGGTATTATTATTAATCCTCAATTATAGGGGAGAAAATTGTTGCACACAAATGAAATGCATTCTCAAGGACACAGTGACACAGAGCTGGAACTCTGTTGGATTCTAACTACTCTAGATGACTCAGTGTGAATATAATGTGGTTTCGAGGCTACCATTCCAGCCTCCACATTAACTTTGGGCTTGGCTGTACTATTTGCTTGCCCAATCAATAAACATGTCGAAGGGAACCTTAGGCTGGCTTAGGCAGTCACAGAGTTGTATGACCCAGGGAACAGGAGCCTGTCAGTCACTTTAGACATGTAAAAATAAAATGGTGCTATCAAGATACCAACATATACACGGTGGCTTACTATGAAACAACAGTTATTTGATAAGAAAATTAAATACTTAATAATGTTGCTACAACAAAAGGCCAAACTTAGTCTGAACAATGTGTGAGTGTGTGTGTGTGTGTGGGGCGAAAATGGTGCTGTTTTAGCGCAAGCTGAAAAGGCAGTAAGCAAACCGTTACTGGAAAAACTCTCCTGCAGTACCTGGAAAGATAGGCATCTTTTACTAGCTAAAATAAATTACACTTAGTAAGCTTAGAGAGCTAGGTTAAGGAGATTTCAGGTAGGATGATAGAAGTGTTGGCTAGCTTTTTCTATATAACATACACTGTATACGGATGCACATACAATACAAAAGAGAGACAAATTAAAGAGATTTATTCAACTTGCACGAAGTTTAGTGCACAATGAAAGAGCAAAGACTTGCTAGGCTGAAGATAAAACTGTTCCACATTTCCAGTATGTCCAGAATAAAATTCCCAAAGGGAGAAACAGTATTAGGGAAAAGAACAAGTTAAAAGTGTGGGCTGACAGGAGTGCTCAGCAGGTACAGGCTTGAGTTTCATCCTCAGAATCCATGTAAAGTGGAAGGGAGAGAACCTGTTCCCTAAAAGTTGTTCACTGACCTCCTTGCTGTGGCTTGCAAGTGATGGTGATTACGATGGTGATGATGGTGGTTGTGATGATGATGATGACTGTAGTAGTACATACTTATAATACAGAATTTGGCAGGTGGAGGTAGACCAGTAATCCAAGATCGTCCTCCGCTACACAATGGGTTTGACATGAGCTGTGATGGAGGTGGACCTTTCGTCACACATGAAAGCTTCACTTTCAGTATAGAGATGTTTGTCTCATAAAGAATTATGGATGAGTACAAGTCATAGAAACCTGAAAAAAGGGTTAAGGAAGTTTGGAGCATCTCTCAGCCTCACTGGAGAAGCTCCGTGCAGCAGGCCCACAGTGGACAATGAGCAGAGCAGGGCCAGAGCTCCACGGGGAAGAGGAGGTGTAGAGATGAAAAGAGCCAGATGTGCAGGGCCCCATGAAAACATTCTCCTCCAGACACAGGAGGATGGCTACCCTTGTGAATTCACAGAGACGGGAACAGGCACACAAGACTAGCACAGGCTCTCAGAAAGGGTCCCAGTGCAGAGAAGGGGAGGGACATATGGGGTCCTTTCCCAACCAAGAAGCTATTTTTAATTTATACACGCTGGGAAACATAAATTATGAGATGGTGGAAGCCACATCATAGGTGTGGAGGTCACAGGTGGGAAAACTTTTAGGGAATGTGTTATCTCTTTTCACCGTCACGTAGATTCTGGGGACCAAACTGAAGTATCAACCACACTCCAGGGCAGGTCCCATGCCCAGAGTGGCGCGGGCTTACACAGGACAGACTCCATGTGCTTTGTATTTTTTTTTTACTGGAAATTCCCCTTTTAGTTTGTCTGTTTTGACTTTCCTTTTTTGTTGTTTTATTTTCTTTCTTTTCATTCTTTCTTTTTTTCTTTTAGAGAGCAAGACTATGAAGTTGTACGGGGAAGGATATACTATACAAAAACATTTTAAAATAAAATAAAACGAACAAAGCTCTAAGTATGAACTGATTCTCACTGAAAAGGGAGGCAGCTCAGGGGGCAGACCAAGTGTTAGAGAGGATGATGAATCAGGAAGCTAGTTCTAGGTTATTAGGACTGGGCCCAAGCCAAGACAGGTAGTTCTGACAACATGATTTGAATTTCTGGGTGGCTGGATTTCAGAATGGCTATCGACCAATGAGATTCCCTTTTCTTGAGAGATAAGGTCTTACTACCCAAACTCCTGGCCTCAGGCAATCCTTCTTTACCTGCTTAGCTATCTTGCTGTCCCCTCAGGGAACAAGCTTTTAAAAAAGTGGAGCTAAGATATAAAACCAACTTTTAAAAAAGTGACCAAAAGGAAGGGATGAGAATATTACTATGGGGCTGGAAACACAGTTGAGTGGTCAAGAGTGCATCTCGTCATGCCCATCTGCAGCTCACAAATCTTGTAACTCCAGCTCCAAAAAATCCAATACCCTCTTCTGGTCTCTGACAGCACTCCTATGTACATGGCATACACTCACTCACACACACACAAGTAAAACTAAATTTTAAAAATATATTACTATCTCACAAATACTTTCTATTTTTGTAAAACTATTCCCTAAAAAGAAAGAAAAAACAAACAAACAAACAAAAAAAACAAAACAAAATTTGGGGTGCAGTGTGAGGTCTGGGAAGAGTTAAGGGGAGCAGTGGGGAATGACTATGATCAAAATACATTGTGTGCATGTATGAAACTCTCCAAAAACAAAACCAGGTGTGGTGGTGCATGTCTTCAATCCTAGCACTCGGGAGGCAGAGATACGCAGATTTCTGTGAGTTCCAGGCCAGTCTGGATTACATAGCAAGTATTTATGTAGCCAGGCTGACAAAAAGAGATCCTTTCTCAAAAACATCCAAAGAATTAAAAAAATCATTTTTTATTGGTGGTGTCATATTTGACAAAAATCACACAATGAAATTATGAGCAAGTATACAGCACAGAAAGGTCAATCACACTGGTTAAGTCCCTCATGCGTTTAGGTTAGGAAAGTAAAGCCCAGCAAGCCAGAAGCCGTAGGTGTTCTGAACTATCCTGAGGATGAAAATGAGTGACTGTGAGCTTTCAATAAAGACACCTACAAAATAGACAGCAACCATAAACAAGCAGGGACCTTTAAATGCCACATTACCAGAAGCAAGAACAATCAGTAATAATTAAAGGAGAAATCATCATTTATTGCAGCCACCACTTACAAAGCACTTTCATATATACTGCCTACTTGCCCATCTAATCACAGCAGGCCAAGGGTAAATACTTATCTAGGGCCTGAAGTTTGGAAAGGACAAAAGTTGTAACTCAGGGCCACCTTGTCATAGTGACCAATGACACCACAAAATGTTATTTCCCTAATGAATAATAGTAAGTGTGTGTGTGTGTGGGGGCAAGGATATCGAAGTATATACAACGGTGGCATATGCCTACCATGCATGCACTCACCCAGCTTCCAACTTTATTTGTAAGCACCATGGAAAGAAACGTTTGTAGGAGACAGTATATTAAGGAAAAGATGGCCTCTACAAAGCTTAAGTGCCCTCCTCCCCTTTCTAGGGTCTCACTATGTAATCTTGCCCTGTCCTGGATTCTGTCTGTAGAACAGGCTGTCTTCAAACTCATGGAGATCTGCCCTCCTCTGCCTCCCAAGAGCTAGGATCACCACACCCAGCATGCTTTGGTTTTGGTTCTTTGTTTCTTGTTTTTGTTTGTTTTGTTTTTCATGATTTATTCTTAATGATATGTTGTATATGTGTGCATGTGTGTGGGTTGTACACTTGGCGAGTGCAGGTACCCGAGGGGTCCAGAAGAAGACATCAGATGGATGGGCGCTGGCTGGGAACCAAACCTGGGTCCTCTGGAAGGGTGGGTAAGTGCTCTTAACTGCTGAACCATCTGTCCAGCTTCAAGTTTGCTTTTTTTAGTTCTAAGTAACTGGGAATATTAATTAGAATTTCTCCAAATAATTTGATTAGACCCAAATCAATAGATTTATCCTCATCAACAATATAACTTGAGAATAACTCTCCTTTTGCCTGTACCAGAACATAGCTCAGGGTGGTGTCAATCTTGCTCAAGTCACTGGGTCCCTCATCACTGAAAGAAATTGAAGAAACTAAAGAACAGATTTCTCCAAGTTCTCAACTTCGTAGATTCAGGTTTGTG